CGAGAGAGAGAGAGAGAGAGAGAGAGAGAGAGAGAGAGAGAGAGAGAGAGAGAGAGAGAGAGAGAGAGAGAGAGAGAGAGAGAGAGACAAAAGGTCCCCTTTACATCAATTCAGGGGGCCCTGCAGGTAATTCAAATGGCTCCGACAATACAAGGGCTTGTTAGACACTCCTCGGGCACATAAAATCTACAAGGACATGATCGTTCCACCTATCGAGGGGGAAGAAATTGGGAAAAAGAAGTGAAAACATTTCCTCGAGGAATCCTTGTAGTGTCCTTGTGGCCCAGCCATTTCGTGCTCTAGTGCAAGGGACCTCGTGAGGTCCCTCAGAGCTCAAGGATCCGTGATAATCGGAGCGGCGAAAGCACGTGTCGTCGGCAACTTTCTTTTTTCGGCTGGTCCATTGGTGCTCCACCAGCGGCTGCACGGACATCTTCATGCCTCAACAGTGGGATTTCAGGCAACGGGTCGCCAACCGTTACTGTTAGAGGACGACCGTCGTCGACGTTCATCTTCAATTGGGGTTGTCCTTGCGGCGCGTCCCGCCAGCTTTGTAGGGGTTCAACATTCGGGAAATTTGAATATTATTCCCGATCCCCCTCCCGCATCCCCACTCATGTTGGCGAGGTGTGTCGTATACTATCCTCTACCGTTTGCTCCCTTCATCGTCGCCGTTTGGCGGACCTCGATCGTCGTCGTGGAGTTACGGCCCTGTCGTACATGTTGTTGATAACCAACCTCTATGGAAGGCTGCCGTTGCTGCTCGTAGTTGCGATTTTGCTTGTCGTGGTCCTCCTTTTCCACATGTGCATCCTCGACGCCTCCATCACGTCGTCGCATTGCCTCCGTTTTGTTGTCGCATTGCCTCTGTCGTGTCGTCGCATTGCCTAAGATCCTCCCACGCCCCCCCCCATCCTCCTTTTCATCCACCACCTCGAGGTCACTCATGGAAGAACACCAAACCTGAACTACAACCTCGGTGCTGGTCACGGTATCCAGCCCTTCGACCGGGACTTGATGAAGTGTCTTCCTCATCTGCACGTGGATCTGCGCTCTTATTCTACCCAATGACCTCTCTTGCTGACAACAAAAGAGCACGGTCATCACAGTTGCCGTCGCAACCATCTTCTCGATCATCGTCAACTTTGCACGTCTGTTGTCGCCGCCACCCTCCATCGGCACAAGTGTTGCAAGGCTCATCAACTACGAAAATACAACAGCTGACGAACTCACCACGAACACGGTAACCTCAGCGCCATGTGCTCGACCCCACACATACGCGCGGCGGAAGGAGGAGGCGATGGCGATGGACCTTCGCGGGGCGCTCAAAAATTCGTGACGACTTACAAAACTCCACTACGCCGCTGCAAATGCCCGTTTCCACCATCGCCAGCATGGATGCCACCTGCCCCGCGTCGCTGTCTTCACGTCCAGCACCCAATTCAAATTTTGATTTTCGAATTGGGATGTCCATTGCTTTTTAAGTTTTTTTTTTTTGTCCCGCCGCCAGCGCCTTTCAAATTTCCCCGCCTTTGACAGCTGGACCACACTGTCACGAGACAGACATCACCCAATGGACCAAGGCATTGCGCCGCCCCCCCGCGACCAACTATAATATTATGAAAATAGCCGCGGGGGGACAAAAGGAATCATCCTCAGGAGACCACCCCGAGGATAGGTGGAACGATGGCAGAAATTTCCTTCCAAACCCCGAAGCCCAAGGACGACACAAGGAGTATCTAACAAGCCCCACTCTTGGACATTATGGAGGCATGAGGACCTTTGCATCAACAAGCAGGATGGCAGCATCATATATGGAAGAGGTGGGAGCAGACCACCAATATATGTTGTGGGTTCGAGTTCAGGTCTGTAGCTGGGCAGTTATGGGTCACAAATTCAGCTAGACCTAAAACTCAGCAAACGACAAGCTGACCTGGACTTACGCTCTTTGAACGTTAATGGTTTGGCTTCTGCAAAGCAGCCTAAAAAACAAGCGATAGTGGACCAGCTCCGAGGGGTGGAAGGGAGGGAGTGGCCGGATGTGGTGTGCCTGCAAGAAACCCAACTTATGAACAACTCGGCACATAACCACATTCACAAGGAAATCTGGCTGTATCAAGCCTTCAGGGCCCACGCCCCCAAACCTGGCAGCGGGGGCGTGGCAATCTGGCTTCCCTCGAACACGAAGGTGGAAATGCTAAATTGGGAGGCAGACCAGGAGGAAGGCAGGTGGATCTACTTACTTGCGATGTTGGAGTTGGAAGTGGTTAGTATACTAAATGTGTACGCCCCCAACGAACCGGCTGCGCGACAAAAATTCTTGGAGTCACTTAAAGTGAAACTGCCAGTCGGTATCCCGACAATCCTGGTGGGAGATTTCAATGCTGCCCCGGATCGTTGGCTGGACAGATGGAGCATCCTCTCCCCCTGACAAGTATTGCAGAATTGCTCCAATCACTCAACCTCTTTGACACTTTTAGAAGGCATTTCCCCACGGACCGCCGTTTCACATGCTTCTGCAGGAACAACAAGGAAAAAACTTCGAAATCACGCATAGACCTGATTCTGGCCTCGGAGGAAATACAAGGGGCTCTTCAGATCGCAGAGATATTCCCCCGAAGCCCATACCCTGGTCTGGATCAGGCAATGTGCATGGCCATATTCTCCTTCAGGAAGAAACCTGATCAGGGTAGGGGCTTTTATAAGCTGAATACATCCCTCCTAAAAATTGACCGTTTTCAAGCCTACCTTAAGGATGCCTGGTCTTTCTGGCAGGACCAGATAAACCAGGTAAGTGACCCCATTGCGTGGTTCAATAACGGCCTTTCTTTTTTGGGCCGCAAGTGCAATGAATATTCGAAGCTCTTGCAAAGCAAAGGCACGCTGAAGAGATGAACCTACAGCTCCAACTTCAACAGCTTCAACAAGAAGAAGACGTAACAATGGATGCCCAGAAACTATTACAGATCACCAATGACATTCAGGGGCTGGAAGCCCGCCTTCTGGGCTACATGGAGCACTGATGGCAAGGAGCCAGAGTCCGAGGGAGGCTCTCCAGGCACAACACGGAGGGGGCAATGGAGGCAAAATTTTTCGCAAAGGCCAAAGTTAGGTCCGGGAGAACTGTAATTGAGGCCCTGGCGGACCCCGCGCGTGAGCAGGGTCCATTATGCACATCCACAGCGGAGTGTACTAAAATAGCTAGAGACTTCTACCAGACCCTGTTCACATCAGGGTGCGCTAACCGGGAGGCGACGCAACGCATGGAGGAAATTGATGTTTTTCTCCAACCTCTCAACCGAGCGCTCACTGACCAGCAGAAAGGCGCCTTGGACAACCCTCTAACAAAAGAAGAAATATGGATAGCCCTGACACAAATGGAAGTGGACAAGACCCCGGGTATTGATGGATTGCCCAAAGAATTTTGGGAGGCCCTGTGGCCATGGATATCACAAGACCTTATGGACTTCTTCCACGAGGTCTGGGAAACAGGCCGCATCGGGGAAATTGTAAGCTAGGGTGTGCTAACCCTCCTATACAAGAAGGGGGACAGAAATAACATTAGAAACTACAGGCCTATCACACTACTCACCGTGGTTTACAAGCTAATGGCGAAAGCCCTGGCAAATCGGCTGACGCCCGTTATGACGCAAATCATACACCCAGACCAGACGGGGTTCATACAAGGCAGGAACATCCTGGACAATATACTCCTGGTCAATGAAATGATTAAACTTACAAGGCAGTCAAAACATAATGCAGCTATCATATTCATTGACTTTGAAAAGGCATATGACCATGTGGATTGGCTGTTCCTGGACAAGTGCCTCGAAAAGCTTAACTTTGGCCCGTGCTTTCGTCGATGGGTAAGGATCCTACACGAGAACGCAACGACCAGGGTAATGGTAAATGGAAACTTAGCCCCCCCCATTGAGCTCCAAAGGTCGGTGAGGCAGGGCGACCCAATAGCCCCTTACCTCTTCGTCATAGTTATGGAGGCCTTGGCCGCCAACCTGAGAACACACAAGGACATCAAGAAAATACAAGCATCCTCGATCCTGCAGGATGCGATCCCGGTGTGCTCCCTCTTTGCAGACGACCTCACTCTCATGGTCGATGCATCAAGGGAGGCAATGGCCAGAATCCAGCAAATGATGGACTTGTTCTGCAAACTTTCTGACATGAAGGTGAATTGGGGAAACAAGACTCAAGGATGGTGGATTCACCATCAGGGGGTTAGACCCCCGGAGCACCCTAAGGTCAAATGGCTCCCTCAGGTTGCCCCAATCAGGGTGTTGGGGGTCATACTAACAACAGAAGGCAAACCGTCTACGAACAACGAATGGATCTCCAAACCCCCGTTGGAGAAGATGACACAATGGCGGGATAAGTACACATCCCTATTTGGACGCTCATTAGTGGTCAACAACGTTGTCCTTGCCACTCTATGGTACAAATCGGCTATTTGGGCGCTAGATAAGAATGCCCTCCGCCCCTTACAACGCCAAGTTGCTGCCTTTTTGTGGAGAGTAAACCGTGAGTATCAGAACGTTATCAGCAGGGTGGCGTGGCACTCCATAATTCAACCCAAAGCTAAAGGCGGACTGGGCATTATCAACCCCACGATACAAACTAGAGCCCTTGCAATACAATGGCTCAAGAGGCTCCTATTCTGTCCCGAGACGCCATGGAGAGGGGTGGCACTGGAACAGATCTCCCGCCTGGCGCCACAAACATTGGCGGAGTGCGACCCGCTGATGTGGCTGGAGAACAGAGGATGGTCGATTCCTAAGAAAAAATCCATGCAGCAGGGCAACCCCTCCCCTGCCTCCCCCAGACAAGCAGCGAGGGAGGATTTGCGGAATGACGCATTTTGGCCGGCTCTCCTGGGGGTGTGGAGGAGCCTCCCCCTTTCGGATAAAACCCCACCTGTGAGATGGGAAGAGGTCGTTCGACAACCACTCTTCGGGAACAGATGGCTAGTGGACTCCAAGGCGCAGACCCTCCACTGCAGCGACACACCCTGGCGAAGCTGGGTCAAACAAGGAATAACAAGGATCAAGGACACTTGGGACACAGACAATAGAGAGTGGGTCAGCCCGGGGCAGCTAAGGGGGAAACTGCGCTATTGCCACCACCTGGCGGAGTCTCTCGAGGCCTTGATAGAAAAAATCCCCCTGGAATGGTGGAGGATTCTTAGGAAAGGCCCCTCTTTACAAAAAGAGGACTGGGTAGCTTTCAAGGAACGTCTCGGGGAGGCGGGTAAAATTATGCAAATCATTACAAATGAAATGGTGCAGGTCGATCTCCACCAGGTGGGATGGAACAACGAAACCCGAAAAAAGAGCCCAGAGGAGACAATGATATGCCCGAAAGAAGAGCTATTTAGAATTAGAGTTCTGCAGGAAAAAGAACGGTTGATCGCCTATCTTCCACAAGTTCCAGTACAATGTCTGGCCTTCGACCCGGCAGAGTGGAAATGGTCATCACCTTCGAAAAATGGCAGCAAATTTACACAATCTCTATACGGCTTGTCGGTTAAAGCAACCTACAGGCTTCTTAGGCCACGAATAAACCTGCGCGACCAGGTGGAGAGCCGCTGGATGAGACATTTAAATGTGAGCAAAACCGACCTGAGGAAAATTAAATGGTTTAATCTGGTAAAAGAAAAGTCTGCAAACGTTGCTTCGATGCAATGGCAGTTAGAGCACCGCTGCCTCCCAACCAACGACTGGCTCATAAATAGAACACGGTTGGAGAAAATGGGAAAGGCTCTACCATGGTGTCGACTGTGCACCAATGCATTTCCATCCAGGAAAAGGCCTGAAACCATCGAGCACATATTTTTGCAGTGCCCGGGAGCAATCTGGCTGTGGAGATGGTGGGATAGAATTTGGAGCCAATTAGAAACACTAGCTCCATGGCCGTGGGCTTGGAAAGCCTTGCTCTATGAAGTATGGCCTGAAGTGGGGACGGACGAGTTCACCAGTAACATGTTCAAATTGGGACGCAGGGCGGTTCTCTGGGCCCTCTGGAGACGGAGATGTACATATGAAATGGAATAGGTAAGACTAGATGGTCCGGACTTTGTCGACAGTATTCAACAACAGATCCAAACAAAGATTGCTGCAAAATGGGAAACTGCTAAAGCTCAGATACAAACCCTAATCTCAAAACAAGATATTCGACGCAAGATCCTTAACTTTTCAGCAAGCTGGCTGGGGGGGGACACAGGGGGGAGGATAGGGAGAGTGGAATGGAAAGGAGAACAGGAAACTGGGGAGGGAATAAATAGTCAGGGACTACCGGCTTCTGTTCAACAACTGGACAAAGATAGATGCAACTATCCCATTGAAACCTGCCCACGAATTCCCCGATCTCTTTCCCCCCCCCTCAAATAGTATAGTTGGCTTGGAATGGTTTGGGAGAGAGGGTTGAAAGATGAGAGAGAGTTAGGGTAGGAGTCCGCAGGTGTCAGTATCAGTTCTAATATTTTCAACCTGGCGCCCCCCCTTTGGGGAGTGAAGAGATGCAGTGGTGACACCTGCCCCCCAAATAGAGTCTGCATACGTCCTGCTCAGTCAATCCCCTGCGTCTGCAGGGAAATCAATGCTGGCAGGACTCACAGCTTTCCTGGACACTTCTATAATTTGGCTATGAGATATGGGACGCTGGACCCGTTTTCCAGCAGGTGATGCTCCCCACCAATAGATGGAGCCTCTCCTCGGGTGGTAGTGCGGTCTGCTCTTATCAGCTGCACTATCACCGCAAGGGGTGTTTTTTCCAAAAAAAAATAAAATAATAATAATAATAATTTTTTTTTAACAAGCGGGCCCAGTGCCCAAGGCTGGTATTACGAATAAGGAGATTGAGGCCAAGGTCCTCACAGTCTCTGTTCGTGTCTCCACGTGATTCTCAGGGCCTAGCTCCACCACTCACCAAATGTATAACATTAGAATGAATCTTCTGCTAAAACATGGAACCATACACTGCCATATGGTATGTCTTTTGTGCATGTGGTAAGTATGGGAGACGAGAGAGCTACAAGCATTTTCATCCTGTTTTTTTTTTTTTTTTTTT